AGTGAATGAGAGTGAGTGAATTAGAGTGAGAGTGAGTCAGTGAGTGAGAGAGTGAGAATGAGTAAATTAGAGAGAGCGTGAGTGAGAGTGAGTAAGTGAATGAGTCAGTGAGAGAGTGAGTGAGTGAATGAGAGTGAGTGAGTGAGAGAGTGAGTCAGTGAATGAGAGTGAGTGAATTAGAGAGTGAGTGAGAGTGAGTCAGTGAGTAAGAGAGTGAGAATGAGTAAATTAGAGAGAGAGTGAGTGAATGAGTCGGTGAGAGAGTGAGTGAGTGAATGAGAGTGAGTGAGTGAGTGAGTGAGTGAGTCAGTAAGGTCTTTTATAATGATCACTTAGAAGCGTAGAATGTTATGAAATATTTTTAATGAATATAAAAGCAATGAACTTCCATAGGGATATAAAAATTATTTTTTGATAGCAACACATTTTGAAAGAAAAAATACAAATTCAGTTCATAGAAAATACTTTGTGTGTTTTCTATTAAGTTGCATTTCAAAAGGAAAGCTTAGATTTTAAAATGAAGAAATAATACATGCGTGTTCTTTAAAAAAGATGACATTAAAAATGTATACATGTGTAAACTTAGAAACTGGCAGTCCTTGTAATTCCATTCTCACTTTAAAACTTTGGTGTGGCTCCCCTAGAATTTGTCTATGCATACAGCAACTGTGGAGAATTATTTTCCTTTTTCCCCACACATGGGGTCAAGCTATCCACACTATTCTGCAACCTTTTTTTCTAGCAATGTATCATAAATACCTTTCCTTGTTAGTGTACAGTAAGTATCATGGAGGATATGGAGAAGCCATATTGAAACCTCATGCACTAATGGTTGTACAGCCATTTTGGAAAACGGTTTGGTGATTCCACATAAAATTAAACAGAGTTGGCAGCAATTCTGCTCTTAGTTATATAGCTAAGGATAAAAAACAGGTCTATGTCAAAACTTAAAATGTTCAAGATAGCATTATCATAATAGGAAAAACCTGGAAACAACCCAAATGTCCACCAGCTGATGAAGAGAGAAGTGAAATATCATATATACACATTATTGTTCAAAGCTGCAGTATCATAATAGAAAAAAATTTGAGAACTCAAATGTCTTTGACTGATGAATAAATGTCATACACAAGATTAGATTTTAAGAAAAGAAAAAAAATTACTCCGAGGGTGCTAATTCATGCATGCACAAATTTATTCCAAACTTCAAAAAACACAAAAACAAAAATACCCGAAACTCAGTGCCAGTCGATTCCGACTTACAACAAGCCTTTCAGGACAGAGTAGAACTGTTTCCGAAGGTTCAACCCTTTACGGGAGTAGAAAGCCTCATCTTTCTTCCAAGGAATCGCTGGTGGTTTCAAACTGGTAACCTTGTGGTTAGCAGCCCAAGCCATAACCCACTACACCACCAGGGTCCTTTATTCCAAACAAAACATGTTTAAGCACATCTCTGAAATTAGTGTGTGGCTACAGACAAGATCTCTTAGTGACACACTTGGTCTCATTACAATGCCTTCAAACAGATCGAATCAGAGCCCTGACTTCCAAGGAGTCCTGGTGGCTTAGTGGACTATCTATTGAGCGGCTAAACATAGGGTCAGTGGCTCAAATCCACCAACTACTCCACAGGACAAAGATGAGGCTTAAAAGTTCCCCCCAAAATTTAATGTCTTGAAACCCAAATTTAATGTCTTGAAACCCAAAGAGTGTTTTGGCTTGAAATTGACTTGATGGTAGCAGAGGGCGCGGTCTGTCTCACAAAGTTCACTTGTAAAGTGATTATGGAAGAACCCTAAGCAAAGGCAAAAAGAGGATGTCAGACCCAAATCAAACCAGTGGCGACCAAGGGCTGGGCCAGTTACATTCAAAACAGAGATCAGCTCAGAGGCTGTTTGGGGGATTCTAGAGGGGTAATCTGATAGATTTTCTCAGTGGACACAGGAGGATCACACAGGATATTTCTTAAAAACAAACAAACAGAAAACTGCCAACTGCACTGGTATCAAAAAAGCCAAGAAAACGGTACCAAGGAATTTCTTCCATCATGACAATGCACCTGCTCATTCTTCAAGGGCAGCAAGGGCTGTCCTAGGATAATTCTGTTGGGAAATCTTACCCCACCCACCTGACAGCCTTGACCTTCCCCCCTCGGCCTTCTTGTTTCCCAAAGCTAAAAGAATGTTGAAAAGGAACACACATTGGAGTCTGAGGATAATACAGTTGCTTTGATGTGGTGTAAATCAAAGTTCTCAGAATCCTCTATGGGCAGAGAGTTGGGAAAAAACACTTTCAGAAGTGTAATAGACCTAGCTGGAGGCTACGCTGAGAAACAACTTCACAGTTTGATATTTTATTAATAAAGGTCTCTCTGAGTTTGTGGCAACATTTTTTATCTACCCTCCTATGTGCTTTGTCTGGACATTGCTACAACTCAAACTCACTGCCATCGAGTTAATTTGGACACACAGCAACTTGATAGGACAGGGCAGCATTCCCCCTGTGGGCCTTTGAGGCTGCAAATCCTTCTGGAAGTGGAAAGCCCCATCTTTTTCTAGCAGAGCAGCTGGCAGTTTTGAACAGTTGATCCTGTGGCCAGTAGCCCTGCACCTAACCCACCACCACCACCACCACCAGGACTCCTAGATACACTGTTTACAAAGATCTTAAAAACCATGTACAATTTTACCACCTCGTTATAACTGCTGTGAACAGTCAGGGGAATTTCACTTAGGGACTTCCTATTTATAGATTCATAGATACTATACATGTCTTTATTATTTAAAAAAATCAAGATTATCAATTATATGCTTACTGTTTTATCATAATTATGACCCATAATTTAGATATGTACTTTGTTACTGTTGGCAATTTAGGTTATTTCTAAATAATCAGTATTATTTCTAAACAACCACAAACTTATTTCTAAATTTGCGACTACTAAAAAGTTTACATCTATCCTTATTTTTAAATGTATTTAAAAATAACAGCTTTATTGGAATGTAATTAACATGCCATAAAATTTCCCCCTTTAAAGTCTATCACTCAACGTTTTTTAGTCTAGTCCTAGAGCTATTAAATGATCACTGTTACTTAATTTCGGGCATTTCATTAGCCCCACCCCCACCCCCCCAAAACCCACAGCCTGTAGCAGTCACTCCCTAGTCTTTCCTCTGGGCAGCAGAATGCACCCATTGACTTACTTTGTTTCTATGGATTTTCCTAGTCTAGAAATTAATCCTACAGTATGTGGCCTTGTGTGTCTGGCTCCTTTTAGTTAACATATTTCCAAGCTCATTTATGCTGTGCTATGTAGCAATACTAGTTCCTTTTTAAAGCTAGAAAGTATTCCATTTCATGTATTCATATAAATCTTAGAATCATAAATATGTAAAAAGAAAATAGGACATTGGAAATCATTGGAAACAAAGATTCTAAAAATTTGTAGATATTTAAATTTGAATACAGTACTGAACAACATAAAGATGAAGTTAAACTTTGGCTTTAAAGATACTTAGCAAACTCTAGTTCTAACTTTCTTTCAAAATTATACCTGTGGCTCTTCTCAGAAATGTATCTTATGAAAATGTGAATTTAAAAAGCAGCATATTTGAACTTCTCTTGGAGTGAGAGACTGGGCTTTCTACTCCCATAAATAGTTACTGTCTGGAACCCACAGGGGGTCAGGATGAGTTAGCACTGACGATGGCAGTGCGTTTGGTTTGGTTGGCGTGAGAGGCAGGGTAGCAATATAGGAGTTGGCCTTTGAGACATCTTCAAGCCTTTATGCAAGGTGAGCCATAAGCCAGATTTGTCAGAGATGAAGTTTGACAGGCCAAAACAAGAAAACTAAAACAAACAAACAAACCAAACGTCATGAAATGGGAATCTGCCCCAAGTCAAATCTCAACATTGCCCGAGTGCCTTGGTCTTCCAGGTTTGATTTCTGTAAAGCTGTTTGTATAGATTTAAGGTATGTTCGGCTGCCTTCTCATCCATTCGTTCTGTTGAGCTAAGACGTCAGCAGTGGCCAAGGCTCCGTTACCTTTGTTTTTAAGCTTTTGTTGACATGGTGGAGGCTATCGGTGATTCCAGCACTTAAGATCGGTGTGCGTGTGTTCCTTGCTTTCCCTACTGGACCAGCCATTCTGACCTTCTCTATTACTCTGGAATTTTCACGATTTACATGGCTTTTCTGTTTCTCAGTCTGTTTTCATTTCTTAATGTAGTAGTAAAACAATGTTATCATCTTGTGAACAAAAAATGAAATATCTGTGATGTGCGGGGAATATACAATGATTCTTCCATATGAAACACGCTGGAAACATCGTTCTACTTACAAGGACTACTTACCCCTTTTTGATAGAGTTCAGAAACTGCTGACTTGCACCATCAGAATAACTTCTGAAATCATCATTGACTGTGAATCCATTTTTCCATAATTTTATACTTAGATCGACCTGCAAAGCAGTAAGAAGCAAAATGCATCATGGTAATGATCCAAAAACAAATCCACTGCCATGGAGGCAATGCTGACTCATAGAGAGGCCCTGTGGGTGTCCAAGACTATAACAATTTACAGGAGCAGAAAGCCCAGTCTTTCTCTCTTGGAGCTGCTGGTGGTTTTGAACTGCCAACCATGAGGATCGTCGCCCAACGTGGAGTCATCACGATACCACAAGAGCTCTTTATGATAATAACAGAGCAGGTGAAAGAGTTAGTCTGCTATTAATCAAATACTGGGAAGAAAACACAGTTTGAGATTTGGTCTGTTAAGATTTAGTTTGTTAAAAGGTACCCAAGACATAATGGCCCATTCCCCTATAATAAGAATTCCTTTTAAACTTAATCAGTAAGGATGTTCTAATTCAGGAAGAGGGCAAGCAGGGCTATTTAGAAAACCTTAGTGGGCACCAGTCTGACAGCCCCTGGGATAATGAAGAGATCATTTCTTGGTCTGATCATTCCCTGGAGAAATGTAAACTATTTTCCTGTGAACCTTGCTCCCTTTTATCCCACTGTTTGAAAGTCCTCGGATCATTATAAAACCTCTTCATAACCTCCTGGGACTATTAAAAACCCATTTTTTGTCACACAGTTTAAGGTATGAAACTCGCTTGCCTTTCAGGGAATCTTTGCTTTGGAGGTAGCGAACTTCAGTTTCCTTCTGTCCGTGCTTGCAGACATAAGGTTGAAATGTCTTGTGTCAACCTCGTCTCTGTTGTGGACTGAACAGGGACAGGCACTTCTGGACCTCTTTGTCAGCAGGCAACAATAATATCATGGAGTCGGTTAGGAGTCTCCAAAAATTTCCCAGCATATATTTTATGGGTCATTCTTAGAGCAAAATTCAAACGTAAAATATATATATTTTTAAATGGGTGCTACTACTTTAAAATCAATCATGAGTCATTTTCTTTGAGGGAACTCACATGGAAACCTGTTCTGTACCATTTCAGAGGGTACCTGAGATGAAGCCTCCTATCCAGAATGGACTTTCATAGTTAGAAAAAGACTTTGTTTAAAATGATTCCAAAAGTTAAACATAATGTACTGAGCAGGGAATGGGGGGAGACACGAGACAAATGAATGAACGGGCGATTCCTTCATTAAAATATCAGTGTTATCACATGGACCAATGTCTTTCTCCGATCACAAAAGCGGTGTTTATTCGTGCCTTCAGAGCAGCAAGAACGCCATCACTGCAGAAACTCATGAAAGCTCAGGAACATGGCAGAATGCAGAGGAACATCAGGCTCAGCACGACAGACTGACTAAACTTGTTCCAGGACACATCCCTCCACGGCCTCCGACATTCAACTAGCCATTCCACAACTATTTACTGAGGGCCTACTATCAAACTGACAGTGCTTGACGTCAGCCACAACGGCTCATACGGAGGAGCTAGGAGGCTGGCGCAGGGCCAGGAGCGTTTCAGTCTGCTGTACCCAGGGTCACTAGAGTCAGCGCCAATCTAGAGCAGCTGGCAACCAGACACGATACATCCACACAGTATCTTACTCTGTGCCTGTGATTAAGGACTTTCCTCACTGACTTCGCTTGCTTCTAAGTATCAAGTATGGAAGGGGAAAGACACACAACAGGAGGCCAATTAAATGGCCCAAAGTCCAACTCAGCAAGGAAGGGGCTTGCACTGGGAGCAGGGCTGGGAGTCCACACTCTTAACCACCATTCCTTCTTTCCCTTGAGGTTGCTCACTGGCTGGAGGTTTACAGAACGAGCAGTCCCCATTCGCCCGTTCACACAGGCTTGGTTTCACCACCATCCCTGCCACGCCCGGATTCTTTTCTGCCTTGACTTGTTTGCTGCAACCAGGTGTTTTTAGTAATGGGCGCACTCGGAAATAAAGGGAAAAGATGTTTTTTGTGCGAAGAGGGATTTAGATACAACTGCATGCGGCACGTATGTCCCAAGGGGCCTTTGGTGTAGGCTTGGTGGAGGGGGCCGTGTCTTCAGATTCAGTCAGCTACCCAGGCCCCTGCCTGGCACGCAGCACAAGTGGGACAGCAGCTTCCCAAGGAATCTGAGGGGTCGACAAAGATTACACTACAGGACCATGCGACACAAATAGGGAAGGCAGGAACTAGAACAACTCTCAAAAGCAGCAGAAGGGAAAGCCAAAGCCACTTTACAAAGGAAGAATCAATGACAGGGAGTCAACGGTAGAGCTTGTAGGAGCGGTGAATTCTTCAATGTGGCTCTTTCAGCCAGCGTCTCTTCCCTCCCATCAACCTTTTCCTGCATGGGTCTGGCAAGAAGGTGGGGGAAGATGCGAGGAGGATTCAGGCATCCCTGGGGTGCCAGCCAGCCCCGCATATAAAATGAGCCCTGAGAAGCAGGAAGGGGGGTCTCACTACCAGCAAGAACCAGGAGTGGAGCGGGGACAGTGGCCCTCCTGGATCCAGAAGACAGCTGTGACACCGGAGCAGCAGCTAGTGCAGCAGGACCAGGAGCCAGAACATGACAGGGGGTGGACTTACAGCTCACGGTCAAGCTGAGTCCTTTCAGGCAGGAGGCTGACTTGGAGAGTGGGGCGCCTCCGGGCACTTCATTCAGGAGTGGGTTTGCTGACCCACGGGAGCTTGAGCTAAAATGCCTTAGGGTGAGGCTTCCAGAGGAATGGTGTGTCTCTTTGGGCCTTGATCAGCAGAACTGGAAGAACGCTGTAATGTGTCCTGACGAACAACTGTATGCTGAATTATTTCTAACTTACATTACAACCTGTCAGCTCCCTTAACAAGCCCTTTAATCGGGGAGCGGGGAGGGAGGGGAAAAATGAGGACCTAATGTCGGGGGTTTAAATGGAGAGAAAATGTTTTGAGAAATGATGTACAAATACGCTTT